TTCATTGTTAGTAAATCCAAACGTGAGCGATTCTGAGCGTGAAACCTGGCGTACGCAAAGTTTTTGTGCGTACGCAGCGTTGATACATGAGGCCCCTGGACTTTTAAATGAAGCAACTACACTCGAAAACAAAAGTGTTTTGATTCTGCAATCTATATGAAATGAATTTGATGTACAGTCTGTCCTGTCAAACGCACATCACATGACGGAAACAACTCAAATGCTCACAAACTTGTAAATAAGGAGTCATTGTCATTTCTGGAGGAGATTCCCCATCAAGACCAAGTTGTTAATTAATTTAGAAGACCAGCACAATCAGATAATCATTATTCAAAGGAGGTTTATGTGTAGAATGGCCATAAATGAGGTTGATGTCGTGATCTTGTTCCTATCGAGTGCGCATATGCATTAGCTTGGCTTTGAACGTTTAGAAACAAAACTTATGAGAGAGTTGTTGTTTAATTTTATTGGTGTTCCAAATATGTCATGTAATCGGAAACTTGGCAAACAGTTTTGGGGAATTTGATGTTTCCCCATTCAAACAGAATGCCCAAGCATATTGCCCGAGAGGCATTTCAAAGATAGCTGGCGAGTGAAATGACTTGCCTCAAAGGAACTTTGGAGCTGTCAAGTCGACTTAAGTTATTTTTACATAATAGTTAATTTACTTAATTTCAAAGTAACGAATTTACTCATTTGTTTAAGTAAAGTCGAATAATCACTTTAAAAGCCACATGTTTACTTAACTTAAAAAAAAAAGTAAAGTTAACTAATTGTTTTTTACATTGCATTTAGGTCCAGTTACTGAGTCTGAGGGTGAATAGTGTTTAACCACAACTTCTGACAAAGCACTTCACAAGTGAATTTAGGATAGGAGAAATGTCCACAAGAAACACTCTAACAAAATGTGGGTGATTTTCAGTCTACTCACGCACCGACGCTACATGGAGGAATTGGACATTGTCCCAAACCACAAGTTGCTCCGGTTGTTCCTGCTGTGCCCCCGCTATTAGTTTCTTTTCCCTCTCCTCTTCCTACGTCCTCTCCTATTTCTCTTCCATCATCTCTTTCACCTGTACTGTTTCCAGAAAATAATGTAATTTGTATGAAATCACGAACAGCTTCAATCTGTTTCAGAAATAATAGCTGCGTTACCTGCCGTAACATTGACCTCAGCAGAAAGAAATGTCTAATTTGTGTTCAAGTATATCGACATCCTCCTTCTGATGCAGATCTGCTGAAATCGCTCTATTGAAAAAAAGTTTCCACACTAATAACACGGACTATGAACGATTTGCCTTTTTATGAAGACCTGTGAGTCATGCGCGCAATTGCATTTCAACATTTTGGAGCAGTTCCTTCTGCACAGGTAAGATAGGCCACAAATGCCGAAATATACAGCTGTACAAGTGCATGAGGTTGACAGATAATGCCAAATCAAATCTGAGTGATTTGTTCCACTGCAGTTCTTGGACATGCGCTCCATGGTATGTCAGCTCTTCTGCTTTCAATGCTGACAGCACAGTTATTTATGACAGTAAACTGTATTACTATGCATAACTGGCTCAGTGTGCCATCAAGACTCTGAGTGGGAACCTTTAAAATGCCACTGTGATACAGTTTTATGAATATTAAAAGCCCATAATAGCCATGATTACTTTTCTATGGATGGACTATTTGCTTCATGTTTTCGGTATGGCAGCCAGATCTGAGATGGATTCCTGAAAATATCTTTATAGAATCAGTGAAATATACTGTATATTTTGGTCAAATGTGAGGTGTTACATTCTGCATTCTGAAAATAAAATGTAGAATTAATTTTGTCATCATTCAGATTAACATCATGTATACATCTATTTATGTGTGTGTGTGTGTGTGTGTGTGTGTGTGTGTGTGTGTGTGTGTGTGTGTGTGTGTGTGTGTGTGTTTGTGTGTGTTATATATATATAACATGTAATATATATATATTGACATATACACTCACCAGCCACTTTATTAGGTACATCTTACTAGTTCTGGGTTGGACCCCATATTGGCCTCAGAACTGCCTTAATCCTTTGTGGCATGGATTCAACAAGGTAGATTCCACAGAGATTTTGGTCCATATTGACATGCTAGCATCACACAGTTGCTGCAGATTTGTCAGCTGCACATCCATTCCACCACATGCCAAAGGTGCTCTGTTAGATTATGATCTGGTGACTGTGGAGGCCATTTGAGTACAGTGAACTTATTGTGATGTTCAGGAAACCAGTCTAAGATGATTCACTCTTTATGACATAGAGCGTTATCCTGCTAGAAGTAGCCATCAGAAGATGGGTACACTGTGGTCATAAAGGAATGGACATGGTCTGCAACAATACTCAGATAGGCTGTGGCATTGATACGATGCTCAATTGGTACTAACAGTCCCAAAATGTGACACGAAAATATCCCCCACACCATTAAATCACCACCACCAGCCTGAACTGTAGATATAAGGCAGGATGGATCCATGTTTTCATGTTCTGACCCAACCGTCCGAATGTTGTAGCAGAAATCGAGACTTATCAGACCAGTCAACGTTTTTCAATCTTCTAGTGTCTGATAGTGGTGAGCCTGTGCCAATTGTAGCTTCAGTTTCCTATTCTTTGCTGACAGGTGTGACCCTGTGTGTGGTCCTCTGCTGCTGTAGCCCATCTGCCTTAAGGTTTGATGTGTTGTGCGTTCAGAGATGCTCTTCTGTTTATAACGTATGTAACAAGTGGTAATTTGAGTTACTGTTACCATTCTATCAGCTCGAATTTCTCACACCAGCCTTTCTGGCACCAACAACCATGCCACGTTTAAAGTCACTTAAATCCCTTTTTTTCCCCATTCTGATGCTTTATTTGAGCTGCAGCAGTTCATCTTGACCATGTCTACATGCCTAAATGCATTGAGTTGCTTCCATGGGATTAACTGATTAGTTGGACAAGTGTACCTAATAAAGAGGCCTTTGAGTGCATATATAAGTGTGTGGCATTTGATAAAAACTCTATTAGAACAACTACATTTCAGTAATGAGTGAAAATTGGTTATTTTCACATTGTTTAGAGCAAATTAGTTCTTCAGGTTTAAAAACAAGCTTTGAAGCAACGTCACAGCCATTGGGGAAATGTGCAAATTCTGGGTGTTGAATGGCCTCAAATACAAATTGACATCATTAGGTTTTCAGTGTTTTTTTGTGCATTAATTTATGAGAAAGAACTGCTTCCATCCAATCTCTGCACACTATTACAAATGGGTAAAAGATATAGTGAATTGAAGGAGAACAGCAAATTATATACAGTTGAAGTCAGAATTATTAGTCTCCTGTTTATTTTTTCCCCAGTTTCTGTTTAACAGAGAGATTTCTTCAACACATTTCTAAACATAATAATTTTAATAACTCACTTCTAATAGCTGATTTATTTTATCTTTGCCATGATGACTGAAAATAATATTTGACTAGATATTTTTTCAAGACACTCCTATACAGCTTAAAGTGACATTTAAAGACTTAACTAGGTTAATTAGGTTAACTAGGCAGGTTAGAGTAATTAGGCAAGTTATTGTATAATGATAGTTTGTTCTGTAGACTATCGAAAAAAAAAAAAGTAGGTTAAAGGGGCTAATAATTTTGACTTTAAACTGGTTTAAAAAAAAAAAAAACTGCTTTAATTAAATTAAAAAAAATAAATAAATCAAAGGGGGGGGCTAATAATTCTGACTTCAACTGTAGATGTACAATTTAAGGAATGCAGTGTGAAAAAATTCATTAACAGTCAAAAAACAGGTAGTTGTTTTAAATATGTCTCACAAGAGTTTTATTTGGTATAGAAACTATTGTTACACTGAATGACATTGTGTTGTGTGGGTTCTGTAAATCTTGTTAAAAGGCATGATGCTCATTATTTGATTTGCTCCAAAATAAAAAAAAAAATAAAAGGACCCATATGGGTATTACATTATATAACATTTTCACACAATATTGTAAATTAAAACATTATACTAACATTATATGTTGTAATATAATAACATCCATTACCCCAAATAAAATTTGAATACCTTTAGAATATTACAAAGTATTACATTTGAAAAGCAATTAAATAATAATCATTATTATTCATTATTTTAAAGAATAATTTGGGGAGCTACATGGTTGACTTACAGTAATAATATTAGCAATTTTGTAACCACCATGCAGGAAATCAATACCTGCATATATAATCTTCGGATGGTAAAAAAGGGAAACGTTTGTACTCTTTGAATCGTCATTGTATGTCAGTACTTGCTTAAATTTATCCAAAGAAGAGTTGGTGGATTCTGATTGAAATGCTTTGCACATCTGGTCTTTTGTCAAAAGAGAGTGCTAGACATTTCACCACTCGGAACCCTGAGAAAAACTCATCGAACCACTTTTAAACATCCAGCCGTACGCTGTGGTGCACCAGATTACTCATAGTTTTGCGAATGTGCTGAGCAAACCCACTTTATCATTCTCCATGGAACCGATGCACTCAGTCTCATTCAAAAGCGAAACTAGGAACATAAGGTCTGTTTTATTAAACACTTTTGGGAGGTTTGGGAGAGAGTGGATCCATCAGCTGATAGATGGATGAAACAAACCTTTTCCATATGGCTACGGCAGCGGCTTCTTCTTGGGCTTTACTGTACACACATCATTCGGCTCTCCATTGGGAAATAACCTCAAAAGAAGATCATGTTGTTACTGCTAATGACACCCATTACCACTCACACGATACATCTCTATAAATAACATTACAAAAAAATTGGTGGATTATTCGATATACTTTAAGTTAAATTAATGGTAAGCCATTGGAGATAAAGGAAACATTTACCAGACATATCCAATAGAGATGGATACTTGTACTTTTCTGAAACACCTAAACTATTCTACACCGTCCCCATGATTTCGGTGAAATTCCAGAGTCTGGATCCTACGGGGGGTTGATAGCCATGATTCAAATACATCATTTACATTGGTAGAATTAATATATTTCACAAGATGAGAACTCACCGAATAAAACTCTAACAGCTGACAAAATAGAAAGTAAGAACGCAATGACCTGGAGTATAAAGTGGCTCTAGATGTCATGCAGTCTATGCCTTGATGTAACACCAAGGTCCCCGGTGTAGAAATCGTAGAGTCCTGCGAAAGGAATTGGGAAAGGGCAGGATTTCGTAGGGTCTCCTGCTGGACCGCAGCGTCCGATCCGTGTATGTCCGTTCGGTTAGAAGCGAGGGTTTAAGAGTTCGACTTTGGCTGTAGCTTTAACTGGTGACAGCGAGAAAGAGAGATTAACGCTGAGATCTGAGGGTCTTTCATCGAGCCCACCTTCAGCGCTCCTTCTGCAGACGTCAACAGCGGCAAGACCTTCCTAGCAGGCGAAGTCTTCGAACACTCGGTGGTGGGTGCGGTGGTGGTGATGGTGATTCGGGAGGATGGTGTTGGCGTAAGCTCCTTCTGAATGGCTCCGGCTCATCTCACTAGAATCCTGAGTGGAACAGAGAATGTCATTTCAGATTCGGTGAAGATACTTTAACACCCCATGTTCATTCCATTGTGAATAACCTGCCTGGACTAATGCTGTGACTCATTGTTTCATCTGTAGAGTGATAAAGCGAAAAGCCACTTGGGGCTGAGCATTATAGTGGTTTATCAATGTTAAAACTCGGTAAACTTACTGATTTGTGAGCTTTATAGAACATCTGGTAACACTTTACTTGGGAGTGTTTATAAAATCTGTATTATTATCAAGACATAACACCTTATGAATATGAAGGAGAGTTTAGACAATTGTTATTAAGTGCCATTTGCTCAGTTATGCCATTTTAAATGCAAAGGTGACATTAGCAATGTTTCCATCCAAGGATGCAAAATAAATTTATGTGAAAAACTGGAGTATTGCATAAAAGATGTGAAAATAAAGCAAAAATTCCATCCAATGAGTCAAGAAGAACAAAATCATCACTTCCTGATTAACTGGTGCCAGGGCCGGCGCGTCCATAGAGGCAACCTAGGCGGCAGCCTAGGGCGGAAGAATAGAGAGGGCGGCGTCCCTGACACTACCCTCACCACCCGCGCCCTCAGTTAGGCTATATCCACGTCTAGTGCGATAGAATAGAGAGGGCGGTGCCCCGACACTACCCTCACCACACTGCCCTCCATTATATCGGCGTCTAGGGCGGCAGAATAGAGAGGGTTGGGGTTGAGGGCGGCGTGACCGTCCTTTGCCTAGAGCAGCAGTTCAGCTTGCTCCGACCCTGACTGGTGCCAAATATCAACAGTAAAATCGGAATTTACTGCGGTAGGAGAAGCTCTTTGAATCTTCATTCATTCATTAATTTTCTGCCGCTTTTCTGGGGCTGGTTCGCGGAGGCAGCAGTCTTAGGAGAGAACCCCAGACTTCCCTCTTCCCAGACAGTTCCTCTAGGTCCTCCGGGGGATAACTAATAGTATGATAACACTAATACTAAAATGGCTTCAGTGTTTTAGAGAGACCAAAACAACATTTCAGATGTTTTACAATGTGCTCAGCATGCTGGTTTGTCCATTTACACACATTTTTATCATCGCACAATCTCTTATAAGAAAATCTCTTGAATTTTTAAATAATAATTTGTTTATATCCATTGTAGTTAACATGCCTTTTTCTAATCAAATAAAGTTTATCCTACTCAGTTATGCACAGTTTTTTATGTCCATTTTCAAAACATGTGCATTGTGTCGTTTCCATCAACCACTTTTTTTTCGCATATCTAAAATGTGCATAACAATTGGATGGAAAGTAGATATTGTCTCAGAAGTCTTTGTCATGACAACTTGACATTATCAAGACAATATAACTTGTCATAAATCTTGTCATAAACATAATTGACATGAGAGCATTGTAATTGTGTCGTAAGTTTTATGTGTCAATAATATTTTTCTTGACCATGACAACAGTTGTACAAATCAAATTTGTTATTAAATGTCATTTAATATTAATGATTCTGTTCTAAAATATGCAGTTGAAGTCAGAATTATTAGCCTCCGTTTATTTTTTCCCCGATTTCTGTTTAACGGAGAGATTTTTAAATATAACACATTTCTAAACATAATAGTTTTAATAACTCATTTCTAACAACTAATTTATTTTATCTTTGCCATGATGACAGTATATAATATTTGACTAGATATTTTTTTTTTTTCTATACAGCTTAAAGTGACATTTAAAGTCTTAACTAGGTTAACTAGGCAGGATAGGGTAATTAGGCAAGTTATTGTATAAAGATGTTCGAAAAAATATATAGCTTAAGGGGGCTATTAATTTTGACCTTAAAATGGTGTTTAAAAAATTGAAAACTGCTTTTATTCTATTCAAAATAAAACAAATAAGACTTTCTACAGAAGAAAAAAAATATTAGCAGACAACTTTGAAAATTTTTTTGCTCTGTTAAACATCATTTGGGAAAAAAAAAAAAAAAAAAATCAAAGGGGGGCTAATATCTCTGCCTTCAACCTTACATACAGTGGTCCCTAGGTATAACTTTTCTTGGTCTCGCAGTTTCGCAGATTTTTTTTGTGTGCAATTTAACATGCTTTTTTCCCGCCAGTGATTGTATTCTGCCTCCTGATTAGCACATTGTGTTGTGCATCCTAATTGGCTGTGGACCATTGTCAATCGATTTCCTCCGTGCTGTGTCACCTGTACAGTACAGAATTAATCAAGCTGGTTAAATTTACACTAGCAGTGTTGCTCTACAGTGCTATACTATATGTTTGCAAGTTTTCTCTCCACAATGCTGACGAAACATTCTGCACCGTCAAAGGCAGAGGAAGATGCTAACCATCGCACTTAAAATTGGACTTCTGGACATGCTAAAGTAAGATAGAAGATACACGAGTATATAAACAAAAAAGAAAAGTGTGAAAACACTTACGTTAATACTTTAATACCTGAGAAATTGTCTAGTTTTACAGTCTTAAAACATCTATAATATTTGTAAAAAATAAAGCGGACTTCTTTGCAGATTTTATCTTATGCAAACTATATGCAAACATATAGTATAGCACTTCAGAGCCACACTGCTAGCACTCAAAGATTTGTGTAAATTTGGCAAGCTGAATGAAATTACCTTCCACAATTATTAAGGGACCACTGTATCTAAATATGTTTTTAAATAATTTAGCACAGAATTGATACTTTGACTAAGAAAATGAGATTTATAATGGCCTAATAAAAAAAAAAATCACCTTTAATTTTTAAATGATAACTAAGTGAATGACACTTAATGACTGCATATAAGCATGCATAAAATCTCCATATTCATAATGTGTCATGTCATGATTTTAAATGTGTCATGACAGTATTATGAACACTCTCCTCAAGTAAACTATTACTGAATATAAACTATAGAGACAGAACATTGATTTATCTTTTAAAAAATAGATTTAAATTTAAAAATCTTGCATATTTATAGTATTATATATACATATATATATATACATACAGTTGAAGTCAGAATTATGGTATTTATGGTAAATTTATGGTAAACTACAATTTCAGAAAGGGGTTTTTGATGTTACACTGCATAATAGATTATTTGTTGGATTAGGCAGTTTTACGAGTCAGCCAATCCAAACTTGCAAAATAGGTCATATTAGGAGAACATTTCTGATTGGCTATAAAAGCATGGCTTGCTTCCCTGTCCAGCCTACCGGACACAAAAAATTGACAGACAGCAATTGTGACATTCCACAAAATTTAATAAAGTTAAATTAGGTAAACAAATGAAAATAGAATACTTTAGCAGACAATAATTTAATTGCAAATACCTGAAGATAGTCTGTTCAAACGTACAGTATGATGAATATCCGTCATTAATCTTTGTACAATAAATTTTGTTTATAATGACTTTTCAGTAAACACGTAGCAGCAAAAAAAATCACCTTCAAATTTCAAATATGCTCACAGAAATGGTGTTTAATTGGTTTAAAATAAATAAATAAATAAACAAACAAATAAATAAATAAGCAAATAAAATAAAATATAGTATTGTATAAAAATTGTATAGAAAAAAAAAAAAATCTATGACAGTAAGATTGTGCCCTGAATGTGTGTATGTTGCTGCAGAACATTATGTTTGGCCTTTTCGATTGAGCGTATGTTTTTCTTCATCTATAATTCATAGAGTTTTAGAATGTTTTCCTTTAAAACTGTGGACAGGGAATCTATATTTAGTTCATATTTTACTGTATATTACATTCATGTACAGTATTTGAGGTTATGCACTGCACTTTACTGACATAATATATAGAACATATACTGAAATAAAATAGGGTTTAAACTGATATACAGGAATGTTTGTCTACCAAATTAGGGACGGCAACTTGTAGAAAGGTTTATCTACTAATTTTTAAGTAGTATACCTGTACATATTTGAGCAAACAGAAACATTAGGATTTTAACATTAAGAATTCAGATTTATTTTCTTACAGTGACCATAAAATCAGAGCCACAATTCTCAATGCAACATTTTAACATTTTATTAAAATGTTATTAATGTTTCTATAATAATAATAACAACAACAACAACAACAACAACAACAACAATAATAATAATAATAATAATAATAATAATAATAATAATAATAATAATAATAATAATAATTATTATTATTATTATCATTTATTCATTCATTCATTCATTCATTTTCTTGTTGCTTAGTCCCTTTATTAATCCGGTGTTGGCACAGCGGAATGAACCACCAACTTATCCAGCCTTTCCAGCCGCAACCACTGGGAAACATCCACACACACACACACACACACATACACACACACACACACACACACACACACACCCACACACACACTGACACGCACACACACGCTCATATACTACAGACAATTTATCCTACCCAATTAACCTGTACCGCATGTCTTTGGACTGTGGGGGAAACCGGAGCACCCAGAGGAAACCCACGCGAACGCAGGGAGAACATGCAAACTCCACACAGAAACTTATTATTATTATTATTATTAATGTTAATGATGCCATAGGAGTTTAATGATCGGTAACTTGGTTTATGTCTTATCTGAACTCACTTTTTTTTTTTAAGTGTAATGTGTGCGCTGGGCTTTGTTATTTTGCAAATATTTTTCATGCTCAAACAGCAACATAATATACTAAAGGGATGAAGAAAGGTTGTGCAATGTGATTAAATTACTGAAATATCACTGACATTAATATCGTAATATGTTCCAATGGTTTACGATTAATGAGCGATTTATTACAAAAGTTTCTTTGTTTGCCTGCCACTAACACACCCTCTGAAAGACCGTTCAGCACATCAGGCAAGGTAGTTTACAAGTCAATACACATCTCTGAGAACAAGCTGAGTCTACATGCTGCTTTTCTTCTCCAAAAATGTGTAACAATATTAGTATGCTGAAACATGGCAAAGAAAGCAGTATGACAGAAGAAATGTTACTTTCTTTCAAGTGCTTTTGTTTACCTGATTGTTCCTAATGTTTCCAGATTAAACAATACCAGTAGTGAAGTGATTGTGAAACTTATTTGATTTATATAGATATATAATAGCCCATTATTTTGAATACTATAACAATTAGATGGTATTTTCAAAATCACACAGCCTTGAAAGTTGAAATTGTAATAAAGTAAAATCTGGTTCCTTTTATGTTGCACTCCACTAATGTTACTGATACTGAAAACATCAGATTTTGATTTTAGATAACAATAGAGGTGAAAAAAAAAATCTTTCAAATAATTTGTGGCAATCTGATTACAGTTTTGAAGACTTTTTTGATGCCAAAAACGAAATAACCTCTGCAGTGATTCAAGATAGAAGCATCCTTTTCCATGGGTACGTTTCTGAAAACCATCGTTAGCCAGCTAAGGTCGGAAATTCCGTTGTTTTAACCATAGTTCATGATTTGGTGTTTCCCAAATCCATAGTTCATATGATCATTCGCAAACTGCGTTGCAAATTTGTATGTTTGCAACTATACCTCTAGAGCTGTAGTTAGAAACCTAGTTCCTGGCTGTTTTATATTCCCAGTTATCCCCCTAAGCCCTATTCATTTTGAACATTCTAACATTCAAACTTGCAATGATTTAGAAAAAAAGAGCATTAAAGTCATCTGTCTTATGCAAGTATTTTTTACAGTTCAGTTTGAGCAATCTTTATATTGACAATTGCGCTCTCTTTGTAATGCACTTTAAAATCATTTATGTAATTTTGAATGGAACCATGTCTCATGACGAAAGAAAGCTATAGGTGACTATGGAAAGCGGAATCTACGTTATGTCTCCAAAGCTTGTAAAAAAAAAAAAAAAAAAAAAAAAAAAAAAAAAAAATATATATATATATATATATATATATATATATATATATATATATATATATATATATATATATATATATATATATAATTATTATACAAAATTATTAGTCCCCTTGTTTAACGGAGAGATTTTCCAACACATTTTTAATAACTCATTTCTAATAACTGATTTATTTTATCTTTGCCATGATTACAGTAAATAGTATTTGACTAGATATTTTTCAAGACACTTCTATACAGCTTAAAGTGACATTTAAAGGCTTAACTATGTTAATTAGGTTAACTAGGCAGGTTAGGGTAATTAGGCAAGTTATTGTGTAGCAATGGTTTGTTCTGTAGACTATTGAAAATATATAGCCTAAAAGGGCTAATAATATTTAGGTTAAAATGGTGTTTAAAAAATTTAAAACTGCTTGTATTCTAGACAAAACAAAACAAATAACTTGACTTGAGATTAGAATATGTGTTAGCTTTTTGTAAGTGGTTTTATGTTTTAGAATAGAAACATAGGCGCTACAGGATGGGCCATTTACATATATTGCAATGAATATGGAAAACGAGTGCATGTTTTTACTAAAACTAATGTATTTTTTAAAAAGCATGTGCGTGTAAAACATTCATTCATTCATTTCTTGTCAGCTTAGTCCCTTTATTGATCCGGGGTCACCACAGCGGAATGAACTGCCAACTTATCTAGCACGTTTTTACGCAGGGGATGCCATTCCAGCCGCAAACCCATCTCTGGGAAACATACACACACACTATTACACTACAGACAATTTAGTCTACCCAATTCACCTGTACCGCATGTCTTTATACTGTGGGGGAAACCCACGCGCATGCAGGGAGAACATGCAAACTCCACACAGAAACACCAACTGAGCCGAGGTTCGAACCAGCGACCCAGCATGTGTAAAATAATTTGCACAAAAAATGTTATGGGGATTTTCTTTAAAAGAGTCGTTACTCCACCTCGTTTAGAGCGTCATTATAATTAATTTTCTGTTCTGAACACAATGTAGCTGTTTTAGTTGTCTTTAATGCTAGTTCTCCCCGCCCATAGTTCCCACATGCCTGCCAGAGTGTGCTTCAATCTCTGCCTCAGCTGCATCAGATAAACAGCAAAATGACAGGCATGAAGTAACATTTGTGAGAAATACTACAGTAAGAACTTCCCAATGATTATTTGATGTATTTGTTGTGGAGTTTATTCAAGCCTTTCTGCAATGATGAGTCACACACAAGGTCATTACAAAGTTCACACACAAACACACAGAGACACACACATAGTGTGAGTGTTTAACTTTGCAATGTTTTTTGCATGGCAAATGTGACAGGATACATGTTAATATCCACTGCTGTATGTATATCTGTTATGTTAATGTACATAGTAAATCTGATTTAACAAAATATGATTTTCATCATAGATGCTCTGTAATATTTTGAGCAAAAGATGTAAAGGTTAAACAATAAAGAGTATTTACAGCCCTCTTTTGGGTTTTTTACCAGTGGTGCCTATACAGTACATACAGTATAAAGGCCATGGTTTCAGATTTAGATGCAGAACTATCAGTTTATATAATGATGTTAGGTCAGGACCTACTGGCCTCATGCTGATCTGAATTAGCTTGAGTCATACTGCGCTTCTCATGAATATAGTGTGCTCTGCCAACATCTATGTTCCTCTTCCAAGAACAGAAGATCGGATTGCAATGAGAACCAGGGAGATTTGATTCAATCCTGGTCTAAGCAGACTGCCTGGCATCCCAATCACAGCTCAATATCCTGCTGCCGATGTTGTATTTCCCTCCGGGCTTTGTTCCTATTCCCAGAGTTGATCTGTGCTGCATCCTAACACTAGCGCTCAAAGATTAGCATGTGGCTCACCTTAGCTTTCATTTCCTCCAGGTTCACTGTGGCGACTGTGCTGGCCTGTTGCTGCTGCTGGGTTTGCTTTTTGTCATCTCTTTGTGGCCTCAGCAAACGCTCCAACCTGTGTTTGATCACCTAGGAAAGCGAGGGGGAGCGAGGGTGAAGAGGGCAACAGGGAAAGTAGGACAAATGAGGGCTATAAACATAGTTTTGCAGCACCAGCGTTTCTGCTGCTCAGCTCAGAGGTTCGGTCTTATCTGCTCTTATGGGAAATACTGCTCACCGTGTAGGAGAACAGCTATGGCTCGAAAATGAATGGATGTGGAACAGGCAGAGGGCCAAAACAATGAGCGCCTACCTCATATACATAATCCAGAATTTCCAAGATGGTGAGGACGCTGGCTCCTATAAAAAGACCCATTTGCCCACCAATGTCCCCTGAAAATAAAAGATGGACAGAGACAATCTGCATAGGTGAATGCTGTTTTTTATGTATTTCTAAATAAAAGTCTTGTCACCTATCGATTTTTAGGAACAATAAATAATAACTTGAGATCAACTTCTAGTTGATCATTTGGTTTCAGAAGTGGCTAATGTGAAAGGCAAAGGCCTCTAGATTACGCTTATTTAGACTTTAAGTCTTGTCACTTAGCAGAAATAATGTACAGTATAGAATATAAAGTCATGGTGCGGCAGAAAAATCAATCATCTTAGATGCCTCCATCTTACCCCAGACATGCTCAATAATGATCATTTCTGGTGACTGGGCTGGCCAATCCTGGAGCACCTTGACCTTCTTTGCTATCAGGGACCTTGATGTGGAGGCTAAAGTATGAGGAGCGCTATTCTGCTTAAGAGTTTGTAACGTAATGGGCAGCACAAATGTCTTGATACCTCAGGCTGTTGATGTTGCCATCCACTCTGCAAATCTCTCATACACCCCTATACTGAATGTAACCCCAAACCAAGATTTTTCCTTCATTAAATTTAACTGATTTCTTTGAGAATCTTGAGTCAATGTTGGCTACAATAGGTGATGCAGTTCAACAGATGATTCATCAGAAAAATCTACCTTCTGCCACTTATTCAAATGATCAAGAAGTCAAGTTATTATTTGTTGCTCTTACAACTGGGTTCGACAGCAAGACTTTTGTCAGGTAGTGTAATTGTTTATAAAATGAAATTGACTGAATAAAATGATTTTTGTTATTAAATTAGAAAAAGAAAATTAATAAATCAATAAATAACAAGGGTAAAAACAGCAATAGAATATATGCTGATGTCAGTTAAAAAAACTGTCTAACAAAGAATGAGTTATTATAATTATCAGATGACACAAAATAAAGACAAATTATTCTTCTTAGGTACAATGTTCAATAATGAATAGCTAAAAATAAGACCAGGGACATTCATCAGCCTGAAATGATTTTCTTAATCTTCAGAAAACAAATGAACAAACTTTTAATCAAGTCTGAGAAATTTCTGCCTCTTATGCTTCAAAATGTTCAAAGAAAGTGAGAGTGAGAGAGTGAGTGAGAAAAAGAGGGATTAGAAGTAAAAAAATATATGAATTCTGAATCTTTAGATGAGGTATAATCACTTTATATGATCAAGAGATTATTATCAATATTTTTTTACGTATAGACATTGATCACTGAAAAAAACTGTAATAACTACTTGACACATAAAACAAAATTTCATTGGTCCTAGCAGAGACTCAAATATGATGCAAAGGTGAAAAAGATGAAAGGTTTTTTCACACTAGCACTTTTGGTCTGCACCTGGGTTCGTTTGATATTAAAGTATGGTACATTTAGCTAGAATGCTGTCTTCTAAACTCAAGTGCGCATCTACGAACTGTACCTGAGTCCGCCTGAAAGAAGTGGTCTGGGGTATGGTTCGCATGAACTCTAGTCTGGTTCAAATAAATGAAGTGAGCCTCCAAATGCATAACAATGTTTCGACTTCAAAACATTAATTTGTGTGTGTATGTTTTGGTATTTTACGTTTTAGGTATTTTTGCGGCAGATAGACGCAAGTTGCTCTCTGTATGTTACCAAAACCAAAAAAAAAAAAAATAAAAAAAAATAAGTAAAAGCTGAAAGACCAGTGTGAATATGTCTTTCCATTTTGGCGCCTTGACTTCCGTAGCCGTCGCCTATCAACAGCTGTACTCACAACAGCAGCTCAATGACGCAAGCATACTAGGGTTCAGGAGGAAAAAAAGAAGTTGTTAACACAAACCAGCCAAGAAGGTGGCAAGGAGGGAAAGTCAAACTTGGGTTTGGACCAGACAATTGAACCAAGTGTGAATTCACCCTTAGGGCTCTGTCATACACCTGGTGCAATGCTGCGCAAGGCGCAATGCAATTGTTGTTTACTTGTTTCAGCTTGGCGCGATAGTCGTTTTGAGGTTTTGCAGCACGCTGTTTAAATAGCCAATGCATTTGCTCTCATATGTGTAACCATAGGCGTTCTGGTCTAAAAGAGGCGTGTTAAGGCGCATTGCTGACGCGTTGCTATTTGGATGAACTATAAGAGACTGCACAATAAACCAGATCAAAGCTGGTCTAAAGTCCAGCGCAGAGTGCATTAGTTGTGTGCCTTGGTTAAACTTTGCTTAATACACTCAGGATGTACAGCAATACACAAATATTTTTACGAATGAAAAATAATTAAAGGATTAAAATCTTACAAAAATTATTATTTTCTAGTCTCCATAAATATAAAAACCAATGCCTCCATGCCTTCTTCATCTCAGGGGGCTTTTAGTTTATTCATGACATTTTGCTCTTGTATAATCTTATTATTATCATTAGTATTATATATATATATATTAGGGATGTAACGGTATTGTAAATACCGTCATACCGCAATATTAAATTTTTTCGATATTACCGAAGTCGCATGACTCGGTAAAACTATAGGTCTTCTGAGAAAATTTGCTCAGGCGAATGAAGCGAACGGGAGGTAGCTGAAACTTCATTTCCCATCAGCCCCGGCGTGGCCATAATCCTTTGCGGTCTGTTGTCGCTACAGATCCAGTAATGCGGAAATGGAGTGTGCTGCTAGTAGCGGAGATGAAAAAAAGATGGAAATGATCGAACCTAAAGCGGGTGTTGTCGCCGCGCGCGTGCTGAATAGCGGTGCTGTCGCACGCGTTCTGATCAGCTGTATTGTGGCGCGCGTATTGTAAAGCGCCGAGGGGGGGTTGAGCGCGCATAATCAAGAGAGGTGTTGTCGCGCGCCTACTGAAGGGCTGGACTGGACGGAGGTTGTGTCGCGTCGCGGGGGCACTTTTGATCGTTTTGGAAGGGCATTTTCTATCCAAGACTAAAAAGGGCATGTGCACTGCACAGGTTGAGCCCTATGTGTGCACGTGCCTGCAAGTTGGGGAATACGACTAATAACAGTCATGGGGACTGCAGAAACACAGCACACTGTTCAGATTGATGCAGACATTGACTTGTACCGCAAAGAGATCTCTATCTCACTCATGGTTTGTCTTCTCAAGTGGGGGAAAGACAATGCACAACGTTACCCCACTGCTGTCAACATGGGCCAAGTCATATCTCTCTTGTCCCAGAAACCTCAGTCCCAAATGAGAGGGTTTTTTTCTGTTGCAGGGGACATTGTAAATACCCAGAGATACCAGCTTTTACCAGATTATAGTTATATGATAATTTTCCTTTAAACCCATCTCTATCTAAGTGAGTGATTAAATGTTAAATGTGATGAGTTTTCAACAATACTAAATTGAAACTTTATTTTTTTACATGGTTTAATAATTTTTTGTTATTAAAATTGAAGTTCCTGTTTCAAAGCTAACAGATAGATGGCTAATTTGTATGTCATTGACACTTTTGGCACTTTTTTGGAGTATTTTCAAAAGTTTTTTTTTTTCCTGTAAATGATTCAATAAATACCGTACCGTGACATTCATACCGAGGTATTACCGTACCGTGAAATTCTGATACCGTTACATCCCTAATATATATATATATATATATATATATATATATATATATATATATATATATATATATATATATATATATATTTTTTTTTTTTTTTTTTTTTTTTTTATAAAAACAAGCTGAGATTTGCCCACCCTCTAAGGTTTTAGACCATATGGGGCATAGCATGTGTAATTGGAAATAACTCAGTTTTTTGACCACACTTCGTTATTATTGTTGATATATTCGTTTGTTGGAAATTAGTACTGAATTTAGAAATAGTTTTGAAACAAATCTTTGCGCTTAATAAACAAAACTAATTATGTATAGGCTAATGGCTGTCTGCCAACAACGTTTCCTTATCCACGAGAGTGAAAGTGAAAGTAAAGAATGAGAATGCTCATCTCTCATTCTCAGGCTGCACATGCTCTGTTTAACTGTTTTCTCTCTAGTAAAGCGTTCAGTTTTTCCACTACAAAGTCTGCCATGTAAATAGCAAATGCGCCATGACACAACCCAACTGACTCTTAAAAGGAATGGGAGATGAGACTCTGATTTGTTTTATTCTCAAAACACACCTATAACTTTTTAATATTATAAGTTCAACCTTGTTAGACCATGCACCACGGTGCAAAGTGGATTTTTCCATCCCTAAAATAGCAAAAGTGGATTCGGACACGCCCTTAATGCTTTTGTGCCCTGTGCTTTAGACTTTGCACATGGATCGTCAAAATAGAGCCCTTAGAGTTTCTCTGATTAAATCTGAATGCTGTATCAAATGTTTATGTGTAAACAAAAACCTAAATTCAGTCGCTCATTTGTTCATTTTACCAAGGTTAATTCATTCATTAGTTCATTTTACCAAAAATTTGAGTCTCTTGAGAGGGGTTATTTTGTAATGTCTTTACGATTTTTATGAAGTGTGTGGAATGAAAATGAATCTCTCAGATTTGATTCAAAATAACGTAGTTTGAGATCTAAACATAAACAAAAGTCTTAACATGTAAATAATTAGTTATTTATAAAATAGTTTTAATTTTATGATAAATTAACCTTTTAAAAAATACAGTTAATTTCATTTACGATTTGCAGTTTCTAAAGTGGACAATAAAGACACTCACCTAATAATCCTGCAACATCGTATGCTTTTTTCTGTTCTATTGTCTCATAATTAAGTGCTTCAAAGAAAATGTCCAAAACAAGGAAGTTGTCTCTGAAACAAAAGGACAACAGCATTAGATTTAAGTGTAAATAAGATATATTTATTAAACATTCAGAATCAATACAGTAAAAAATGAGACACTGGACCACAAAACATTTTTGTTTTACACAGTCAATTTATTTATTTATTTATTTATTTTTAAATAGAGATTTTTACACTCAAAGCGGAATAAATAAGTTTCAGTTGATGAAAGGTTTGGGTGATATTTGGTTGAGATATTTAATCGAGATAACTATTTAAAAATCGGGAATCTGAGGGTAAAAAAAAAAATCTAAATGCTGAGAAAGAAAGCCTTTTAAGTTGTCCAAATGAAGCTCTGGTTTCTTACAATAATTATGACCCATTCAATGTGTTTTTAGGGTATTGCCTTTTCAACATACAGACTGGTTTTGTGGTCCACATATTCACATATTGGTTTAAAACTTCAAAAGGCAGATTGGTAACCACACCTGATGTAGTCTTCGGACTTGTCGTATTTTCTAGATAAGTAGCGAGCCGAGCCCTTGCTGGGGATTTTAACCATGGACAGCTCTTTACCATATCGTGTCAGGTTACAGGGAGTCTCACAGAAACATGTGTCACCTGAACTTTTCTGCAACAGTGCTGCAAATAACACACACATGTCAGTTGGGAGCAGGAGACAGTTGTGTGTGTGTGTGTGAGAGAGAGAGAGAGAGAGAGAGAGAGAAAGAGAGAGGGAGAGAGCAGGTGCTTCATTCCACACCTGCACACACACACACACACACACACACACACACACACTTTCTTCATTCATCAAACTAATGTGGAGAGATAACACCAGCGCTAAATAATCATCCATGAGATGCTTGAAACACACTCAGCATGTTGTTCAGATTTAATTGGGTTTCTGAAGGGCATCCAGAACATCGTACACTCACACACACTCAACCTCCTTGAGAGGAAGCATTGTGAATGTCATGCTTAAATTTTTTTTGGTAATCAGGGCTTTCCTTTTAGAATAAAATTTAGTAACATGCTTTGACACTGCCTATTTGATTTATATTATTATGCGCCAATGTTACGGAACTGGGGAAGCTACTTAAAAACTTACAATCTCCCCTAATGTATCTGAACTACAGTCAAGCTATACTAGAAAAAAAAAAATCCCTAGCTAAGCTACAGGCTAGCTGCCTACACTAAATTAATGTAAAATGGCAAAAAGTTGTATAACTACAGTGTAAAAAAATCTGTTATTAAACATTACAGCCGTTAAATTACAGACATTTACTGTAGAATAACAGATGGTTAATTACAGACATTGACTGAAAAAATAACAAATAGTGAATTACAGACTTTTACTGTAAAATAGCAGATGTTAAATCACAGACACTTACTGTAAAATAACATATGTTAAATTACAGACATTTACCAGAATTCGAAGTGTAAGGAAATTTTCTGTAATTTAATGTCAGTTTTTTATGGTAAATGTATGTAATGTAATGTCTATTATTTTATGATAAATGTTTGTAATTTAAAAGTTTAATATTTGTTATTTTAGAGTAAATGTCTGTTATTTAACAGCTGTTATTTTATGGTAAATATCTGTAATTTAACAGCCGTTATTTTACAGTAAATGTCTGTCATTTAACAGCCATTATTTAACAGTAAATGTCTGTAATTGAATGTCTGTTTTTTTTTTTTTTCTCATAAATGTCTGTAATTTAACGTCCATTATTTTATGGTAAATGTCTGTAATTGAATGTCATTTTTTATGGTAAATGTCTGTAATTTAACATCCTTTATTTTTCGGTAAATGTCTGTAATTTAACAGTTGTTATTTTACGTTTACCTTAAAGAACTTTTTTTTACAGTGTGTGATATTTCACATAGTACAGCCATTTACATGTCACGCATAATTGAATGTTCAACCTACATATTTAAAATGAGCTGAATCAACACAATTCTAGAGTTTTTTTTTTTTTTTTTTTGAGCAACTCAAGTGTTTATTGTTCAATCCTCTAAATTTGTAAAAACAATTAAGATAACATGAAGTAATTGTGTGGAACCAAGCATTTGTTTTACAGTGAGGGTTGTTATTTGCATCGGAAACAATAAAACAGTATTATTACTTTTATCACAATAGTTTAAATCTATTTTAATATATTTAATATTTTTTAAAATTACAATTTTAAAATAAATTATCAATTTAAAAAATGTATATTTCTACGGTGGCATAAATTATTTCTGTGATTACTCAAGACTTTAGTGTCACAATCCATAGAATTTTTATTATTATTTTATTTATTTTTTTGCTTGGAACATGCCAGGAATTGTGTCCTTCCACCAAGGATTATGGGAACCACAGGGAAAAGAAAATACTACTACTGCAAAACCCCATTTGAAAATGTTCTTCTCTATAGCCTCTACAGATCCGAATTATGTTCCAAGTTTTAGAAAATTGTAAAAGTATGTTTTCACAGTTCTTGAGGCCCCAACAAAAACCTCAAATTTATATATATATATATATATATATATATATATATATATATATATATATATATAAATTTGAAATTTGAGGTTTTTGTTGAATAGATTGCAACTAATTTACAATAAACTTTAAATTCATCTTCCTCATCACTCCACATAATGTCCACATCTGAGATATTCCCATCTGCTATACGCTTAAGAACTTCAGGATCTGTATATTCAGCATATGAAATTGTTTCATAAAAAAGTTCAATCATCATGGAGATATAATGTCATAAACACACCTTGAATCCATTGTCCATATCGTAATGGACAGACATTAAAAAAAATAAATAAATAAATAAAAATCCTGATCTAAAGCTTGCAATGTTACAAAATATTTTAAACTTTAATTAGTAAGGGCAAACCCTCCTTTTTTACATACAATCTATGAAATAATGGCAAACATATCAATAAATCTGAATAAAAACATTGTAAATGTGGCTTACGTCTGTGTTTGGAGTGAAATGACGCCATGCTGCTATTCAGTGTAGTGGGTGTTTTTCAAACTAAGCCGACTCACCACCATTTGATTGGATGACAATCACACACTCTCATGGACTGTAGGCTTTAAATTAGATGAAATGCTTAGGAGCCACAAAAACATGGTCTGACATGAGATCCATTGTAATGGACACATGGTTCGAATGAGGTATTAGAATATACCTAAAATAAATTAATGAATACATTTCTGGATGAGAAAACAACAAAACATATTCAAATCAAAGTAGAGATTTCGACCAGAATATCTGAATAGGTCAATCCAGTGAATGAGAGAACAAATATATCAGGATTTAGTTCAACTAACCGTTAAATGGGGTCGAGTTTCCTTTTGACTGCAGAGATAATTAAATTTCTGGCTTATTAGATAAGGACTATCATAATTGTACCGATACATCTCTCATCATCAACTTTTCATGAGACGCTCCATTTACGAGTGTCATAAAATCAGTGGAACAAGACACCTACAGAGAGCGATAACGCCGCGAGGGTATCAGAGGCTAATGCACTGCAAGGAACTCCAGTTTAACACGGCCCTGTAAAGGACGTTAAAACGCTGGAGAACATTCTCCTTCATGGATTGACTGAGTAAATCCCGTGTAACCCACCACAAACCTCGTGCACCATGTCTGTTTATCTGGGATTTAATTATTGTGCCCACTACCTCCAGAGATATTACACTCCAGGGCGCTAGCAGAAAAAAAATGAGAAATGCTTGCTTACCAAGTGCTTTGTCCACACATTTGATATCGCTGGGTGTACAGATATTGGCATCTCCTGAGAAACAAAATACATAATGACTCTGATCAATCACAAGCAAAATGATCGCAGTTATTTCCCCGCCAGCCAAGGAAGAAAAAGCACGAGCAGTTAAGAAAGAGACAGCATGCCTCTGCTTTGTTATTCATCCTAAAATGATGGAAGACAGCGTGTTATTGAGGAAGATGGGTTGGTTTTCACCACGCCTCCCTCATGACCATCAGTCTACACCTAATTGCACCCAAAATACGCTGATTCAAATCCCTTGCCAAAGGCATATTTATAAAGTCTTTAAAACCCAATCTCCATCGACACACAATACCACAGGAGGTCCAACTTGCCATGCATCCATCGGTCGGAGTAAATATGTATGGCACCTAAAAGAGAATGGCCTTTGAGTTAATGCTTTTTGGAACAGTCTCTGTTTTCAATTTGCATTATGGGAGATTGATTTGAGTACATTAAAGTAGAAAAGCAGAGCTTCCATTAGAGCCCGGCCACCAACAGTCAAACGCTCTCTGAATTGCCACTCTGATAACAACTCAGGTGTGGTGGAGTTAATTAGAAAAGAGGTTTCTCGGGGACAGAAGAAAGTCCTCCGGTCCATACATCACTGGTTTTCAAAAGAGCAAACAAGTGTATTAGCTTAAGCAGTGGAGATCAAAATTGGAGAACAACCTACAGGACATCTTTCACTTCAAGGTCACGGCTTAGTATATTTGAACTTATCTTGTGTTTATTTAAAGCACATGAGTAGGAGAATATTTGGACATTTTTTGCTATTTGTGCAGAGAATTTTGTAAAAAAAATAAAATAAAAAAAATGCGGCATGATTTGTGCAGTATCATAACAAAAAACTGTAAATATAAAATAATAATAATACATTTTTAGGTTTTATTTAATGTTTACAATGTAAATCCAATTAGATCAACTTATTTGGTGAACAAAGCAAGTCTCTGATATAAGATATCTACTAAAAGAAAGAAAATATGACTTTACAAACTGTACTGTTAATTAAATTATATGAACTCTTTAATATTGTTATTATATCACAATGATATTAATGAAATTAATTTCAAAACCAAGTAAATATAAATGAACACACATTTCCACAAGTAAATACATAGACTCAATGATGGGCTAGAAATCTGTGGATTTCTGTGCATGCAGATTCAGTGTGGGCCTAATCCTGAGCTGTTCTACAGCAGGGGTACTCAAGTTACATTTGAGTAAGGCCACATTTAAACCACATACAATCAATTGCACAAGAACACTTTATTCAGAATAATTTCCTCAGTTTTTCTGAATTAAAAATTATGTTTATTACCAAGTCTGGCGTGTTCGTGTTCCATTTAAAGAATATTAATAATGATAATAATAAACATGATCATTTAAATAAATGTGTAAAATGTGAATTAACACATTAAAAAAATGCATTTACACTTTAACTGAGCATTAAACTAAGCAGATGCATTGAATATATATTAAATATAGGCCACTATAATATTCTAATATTTAGTTTTTCATTAGACCGATAGTATATATTACATAAATTGATACATATACTTATTTATTTACATAGTGTGTTTTTCTTAGGGTCTGTACAAAGCTGCTGTCTTACAAAAAATTAAATAAATAAAAAAATCATACAATGTTAGTATGAGGATCTCAACGTAGATCAGCCAGCTTTCATTATTGTAACAGGAGAGTAAACTCTGTGACCTCGCTGATGTGAGGACAGCTCCTTTCATTGAAATTGGAGAGCTTTTTGCTTAACAATTTTAATACGTTTGTTCTTCATGCTGCTAAGAGTATCATCTGCCATTTACAGCATGCAAAGTGTAAGCGTGGACAAGACCTGTTCTAAATAATATTAAACTTAAATAAGATATTTAAAACAGAACATTGGTGAACATTAAAGAACATTTTCACTTAATCTTGCACCTGATGCAAATTTCTTAGCTATCTGACTACCCTTATTTAACTTGAGTCTAACTTTTACAGTTTTCACTGACTTTGCAAAAAAGTGAGCAATTCTAAAATGACTGAAATTTCCAGACAGAAGGTCAAAGGGACGACCATTTCAGCCTTAGTGAAGCAATAGAAAAGCTGGCCATTCCAAAATCAAAGATTTTACCACATTTCTGTATTGATTGTTCACTCAGACCACATTTCTGACCACAATGTTGCTCCTTGTTACACAAAATAATGGAAAAAAAGTTACTTGAAACTGAAAAAAGATATAATATAATGGCCAGCCAAGCACAGATGTAATCCCGGCTGAATTTCTCTAGAAGATACATAAATATAAATAAAAGCAAATTGAATAAAGCAGTTCTTGAAACTGAAAATAAACAAATAATGAAATGGCCAGCCTGAAGTCCTGATGTAAACCCAATTGAAAATCTCTGGAAGATCCATAAATAGTATAAGTTCATATATTTATGGCTAAGAAATCACCCGATTTGAATGTTATCATTCGATTAAAAGGGCGTTATCAGTGGTTATCAGCTGATAGATATGGGCCACTAGTAGGCTCAGAAGGCTGTTATCATCAATCCACATGGTTAATCAGCTATACTAATAGAGAAGACTCCAGATCCAGATCTGTTTTTACATTACTGTGACGGTTGGGTTAAGAGTTGGGGTAGGGGTTAATAAAAATCAATAAATGGGAACATTTAATTACTACTAATTCTTGTTAACTTCTGACCACTGCCATATGTGATCTATAGCTGATTAACCATGTAGATGGATGCTAACAGTCTTTTGAGCCTACCAGTAGGCACAGAAGGCCCTATTGGCCTATATCTATCAGCTGATAACCACTGATAACACCCTTAAATCAAGTGATAACAGTGATATTGGCTGAAAAAAAGAAACACAACTGTCACTAAACAGTGGAAGATATTTAGGAAAAGGTGTTTGTTGTAATACAATCATTCTGTTTTCTAATTTTGATCATAAAATAATGGACTTTTGTTAGTGTATTTGTTATTTTGTAAAACACAGTTCTAAAATTTCCATTTTTATAAGAAAGTCTTTATGCCTTGATCTCTATTTTCATCTCAACTGCATTAAACAGAACAAAACAAATCAGCAAGTCTGTTATTATCATTGTTAAAATCTAGATTTTTTTTTCTCCAATCATCAAATGAACTGCCAAAGTCGTTGTATTGTGTGACTAGACAGTAAGCTAATTTGGAGACTTGCATTAAGCTTTCGGCTCCACTGCTTGGAGCAAATTAGATGAGACGAGTTTATTCATTTAGTATTTTAGCAATTAGCAGAATACATTAGCACGCTGATTAGGTTGAGTGGGAAATGAAAGCAGCGGTGTAGCGTTACCCGGCATGTGCACCATCCTGCATTTGCACTCACGCAGAACCTCCAGAGTCTCGCAGCGCAGGCGGCAGGCGCTGATACTGTAGGTATCGTAACCCGGGATCATCTGCTCACTGGTAGAGCGGCAGTTCCCCCAAGGCTGGGGCAGGTAGGTCAACTACAAACAGAAAGGAAGAGCCATGAGAGAGAGAGAAGGCAAGAGGGAGACAGATTGTAAGAACAAGAGAGCAAAAGAGACAGACACGGTAAATTCAAAACAGGTATGCAAATAAGCAGAATTCTCAAGCTGCGCAATGGTTTTAGAAAGCATGAAATATGAAGTGACTGACAAAAGAACAAGAACTTATTTGTACAAGGCTTGATTTGTAGAAGGCAAGCTTAATAAGTGATGAGCCTCCAAAATAAATAGTGCATTCAGCATTCTTTTTCAAGCATTAGATCCATCTTGTATGCAGTTTGACAGAGTTCTAGCTGCTTTTAGGCAGGTTTGTGTTTCATGATTGTGTAAATGCACTTTTCTGTTTTCTCAATGCATTGTATTTATGTTATTGTAAAATATTTAACCTTGGATTTTCTTTGTAATCTCAGAAATGTTCATTAAACTCAAAATCTTTCACAAAATCATTTAAGTTTTTGTGATAGCAACTATTCCACGTGTTCATCATCATCATAAAAAAACAAAAAAAACAAAACAAAGATACAATTTAAAGATCCTATAATTCCTCCAACAATAAATGGATTGTACCTCAGAGAGGCATATTCATTCATTTTCTTTTCAGTTTAGTCTCTTTATTAATCCGGGGTCACTACAGCAGAATGAACCATCAACTTCCCGCACCTGTTTTACACAGCAGATGCCTTTCCAGCTGCAACCCATTTCTGGGAAACATCCATACACACTCATACACTACGGATAATTAAACCTACCCAATTCACCTGTACCGCATGTCTTTGGACTTGTGGGGGAAACCGGAGCAACCTGAGGAAACCCACGCGAACACATGGAGAACATGCAAACTTCACACAGAAACGCCAACTGACCCAGCCAAGGCTCCAACCAGCAGCCTTTTTGCTGTGAGGCGACAGCACTAACTATTGCCCCATTGCGTTGCTCCCAGAGAGGCAGATGCCATGCAAAAACAAACAAACTGCCATGTTAGCTTAAGTTTTGATGTAGATGCCTGGGGGTTTGGAACACATTTATGTTAATTATACAAAATGATTTTGATGATGGACTTTCACTCAGAGACATTTAGAATTACAGATGATTATGGTGTTTGAGACTGGTGTGCTAGTTAGTCCATCTATCCAATCATATTTGTCCAACAATCACAGTCATCATTTTCTTTATTGCGAAATACACCTGAATGAATTCTGGAATGGAAAACAAATATATGGCAGGAATTGATTTCACACTCCACTGGATTTAATAGGCGACAAGGTGGCTCAGTGGTAAGCACTGTCATCTTAAAGCAAAAAGGTTGCTGGTTCGAGCCTCTGGCTGGGTCAGTTGGCATTTCTGTGTGAAGTTTGTATGTTTTTAGTGTGTTCACGTGGGTTTCCTTTGTGTGCTATTTTTTAATGTTACTGCCTTTATTCCAAAAATAGATTAAATTAATTTATTTCCTCAAAATTCTACACACATTACCTCATAATGACAATGTGAAAAAAAAAATTAATTGTTGCAAATTAAAAAAAAAAAAAAAAAAACCTGAAAAATCACATGTGCATAAGTATTCAATGTTAATTAAATTATTATGCACATGTGCATAAGTGCTCAATACTTTGTTGATGCACCTTTGTCAGCAATAACAGCCTTAAGTCTTTTTTAATTTGATGCCACAAGCTTGGCACACGTGTTTGGGAATTTTTGCCCATTCCTCTTTGCAGAACCTCTCAAGCTTATCAGGTTGGATGGGAAGGGACGCTGTACAGCCATTTTCACATCTCTCCAGAGATGTTCAATAGAACTTAGGTCTGGGCTCTGGCTGGGCCACTCAAGGAAATTCACCAAGTTGTTGTGAAGCCACTCCATTGATATTTTGGCGATGTGCTTTGGGTCATTGTCCTGCTTGAAGATCAACCGTCATCCCAGTCGGAGGTCAAGAGCACTCTGAAGCAGGTTTTCATTCAGGATGTCTCTGTACATTGCTGCATTCATCTTTCCCTCTATCCTGACTAGTCTTCCAGTTCCTGCTGCTGAAAAACATCCCCACAGTTTAATGCTGCCACCACCATGCTTCACTGTAGGGATGATATTATTCTGTTGATGATTGGTGCTTGGTTTTCTCCAAACGTAATGCCTGGCATTCACTCCAAAAAGCTCAATTTTAGTCTTATCAGAACAGAGAATTTAGTTTCTTATGGTCTGAGAGTCCTTCAGATGCCTTTTAGCAAATTCCAGGAGGGGAGTGGCTTCCGTCTGGCGAATATACTATACAGTCCGTTTTGTTGGATTGCTGCACAAATGGTTGTCCTTCAGTAAGGTTTTTTTGGATTAATGATCACCTCCCTGACTAAGGCCCTTCTCCCCGATCACTCAGCTTAGATGGTCGGCCAGCTCTAGGAAAACATCTTCCACTTACAGATGATGGAGGCCACTGTGCTTATTAGAACTTTCAGAGCAGCAGACATTTTTTGTAACCTTCCCCAGCCTTGTGCCTTGAGACAATCCTGTCTCTGAGGTCTACAAACAATTCCTTTGTCTTCATGCTTAATTTGTGCTTTGACATGCACTGTCAACCCTGGGACCTTATATAGACAGGTATATGCCTTTTCAAATCATGTCCAATCAATTGAATTTACCACAGGTGAACTCCAATGAAGCTGAAATATCTCAACAGCGATCAGTGGAAACAGAATGTACCTGAGCTCAATTTAGAACTTCACGGCAAAGGCTGTGAATACTTATGTACATGTGATTTTTCAGCTTTTTTATTTTTAATACATTTGCTAAAATTTCTAAAAATATTTTTTTCACATTGTTATTATTGAGTATTGTGTGTAGAATTTTGAGGAAATAAATCAATTTAATCCATTTTGTAATAAGGGTGTTTTGTAAAGATGAACTAATGAATAACTTCACTGGATTTTAGACATTTTCTAATTCATTGGGAGCATGAATTAAAGACTAAATATGCATACCAATAATAATAATAATAATAATAATAATAATAATAATAATAATAATAATAATAATAATTAATGAATTTTTCTTTAGCTTTGTTTTTTATTTATCTGGGGTCACCACATCGGAACAAACCGCCAATTTATCCAGCATATGTTTTACGCAGTGGATGCCCTTCCAACCACTACCCATAACTGGGAAACACCCATACACTCTCAAGTTCATACACACACTCATACACAGCGGCTAAATTTGCTTACCCAATTCACCTATATCGCATGTCTTTGGACTGTGAGAGAAACGGGAGCACGCAGAGGAAACCCATGCAAACAAGAGGAGAACATGCAAGTTTGTGTGGATTTCCTCTGGGTGCTTCCGCTATTGACCCTATTCTTTAATGCGAAAGTACGCTTGTATTTGCGATTGTTTTAGAACTTCTGATTCAGTCGCCTATGAGAGTCATGACTAGAAATAATAAATGGCAGAAAACCATGAAACGTCTTGCTCTACAAACAAGTGTTTGCATGACTATACAGACAAAATAGAGTAATATAATAAGAAAATGTCAGTTTGCAACATCAAGCAGTAATTCTAGCTGTTTTTAACATCTAAAAACGAATGGAAGTAAATGCGACAGAAAGTCCTGAGCCAAAAAGATTTAAATGGCTGCGCCTGCTCGAACGCGAGCTTAGCCTAAATTGGCTGTAGTGTATGTGTGTGAAAGAGTGTGTATGGGTGTTTCCCAATATTAGGTTGTGGCTGGAAGGGCATCCACTGCTTAAAACATATGCTGGATAAGTTGGCAGTTCATTCCACTTTGGCAACCCCAAATTAATAAAGGGACTAAGCTGAAAAGAAAATGAAAGCATTTTTGCTTTAACTTCACCTCAAAATAACAGTCGAGTCTTTGAAATAAACCCTTCTCAGAGATTATGTGTTTATCAATCATGCTGAATCTTTGAAGGCAATTAAATCACATGTTTATTCAACAACTGCTTTTTTCTCGGGGTTTTTACTGGTTCTTTGTGTATTTGGACAGGGTTTCTTCAAAAGAAAATCAGACCGTGTTTCTTTAAGAAGATGTACATGACAATCATAGCTTAGTTCAATTGTGTTTGCGAATTAAAGTCAATGAATCGCCCAGCCCTGTTTCAAAGGTATCAATAACTCTTTAAACGAGTACAAGTTTAGTTTTAAAAACTGAAATATACTTTGGGTTTGAATCTAGCCCTGGTAGCTCAGGCATCATTTGTGTTTCAACTTTCACAAGCATGTTAGCCCTTCAACTGCCAGTCACTTTCTCAACTCTAAATGTGTGTTTCACACTTGCAAAGAAATCCTCCTCCACTAATTGCCTCTATTTGTGTTTATTTTTTCACTTCAATCTAACAAGAAACAGCATGCTTTCTGGAATGTTGTTTTTTTTGGCAAGAGCTGTGTGACAATTAAAAAAAAAATAGCTTTTGTTTTCAGAAATAAACAGCATATGGTTTGGAATAACATGACGGTGCGTAAATACTGACAAAGTTTTAGACCATTAAGCATTTAAAAAAATATGGAGATGAACAGCAGGTAGGCTACTGTACAAAGCCTGATTTCATCATATGTGTTGTTTCATTTGAGAAATTAAGAAAAGGGTTATACCCTTTGCTCTTGACAGGATACAAAGGTCTGGAAACCCGGAGAGACTCCAAAGCCCAGCTGATGGATGTAGGGCGGCTCATCCTGACTGTGGATCTGAACACGAATTCCTGCCTCTAAAGATGTTTCATCTACGAAAAAAAAAGAGCGATACTGAGCAAGGGTAAGAGAGCAGAACAGCCAGAATGAGCAAGAACGCAAAGATAAGCCTCAGATATCCTTCTATCAATACAAATGGGAAAAACAACATCACAAATAAAGCTTGAATTTAAACAGGTTTATCTTAACAGATTGTGCAGACACACTTGTGAAAAGCAGAAAATATGAGATGACTCGGCAACTTTCAGAGCAGAAATCATTTCTGTGTGACACTATAACTCACTCGTCTCCTTCCAGATAGGCAGATAATCATCCTGCTGGATATCCAACATGATCTCCAGTCCGTTTCCCATCCCACCTTGCTTTGTCTTCCTGGAGGTTGTCTTGTTTCCATTGAAAGTATAGCATTTTCCATATCTTGTGTAGACCTGTGAGGAAAAAATAAAGGAAAAAAAACACCAATGAGAAAACTTTGAAGACAAACTCTCATGATGGCTTTACACATCCAAACCTGAGAATTCAAATGTTTTAAAGGTTAAAGTTGCACTAATAACATATTTTTAGAATGATATAATTTTGCTATCCTAAATTATTACACAGTTCCTTTGAATACATGATTCTGATTATTTATTCTGAGTTATTATCTGCTATAACAACTGCAGAAACTAATAATGCAAGACAAGAATCGTCTTGAATGTTACACTGATATCCATATTTATATGCTTATCTTTGATGCTGCCACTCTTGACCCTTTGATAGCTTTACATTTAATTAAATAATTAAGAAATGATCACATCTCAAAGAAATGTTTTGTGTTTAACTGTTTAGTATTGCGTGTAGATGTAGATCTAGGCAGTTGCTTACATAGAATAAAGCCCTTCAATATTAGAAACAGAGTTTGATTCTGCAAGAACAGCTGGCTAGATGTACACTTTACCTTATTTAGCTACACCATGCTTTTATGCTTAGCCTGTTGCAGTTGTTAGCATGAATTAGCATGTTTACTAGCATGTCATTCTGTAGGCTGTTTGCTTAGCCAATAATAGCTAAATGGATGAAGGTAAGACATTTTTGAACATTATTGACTTATGTTTTTAGGATGTTTATCATTTTGCTATCCTAAATTATTACATAGTTCTCTTGAATTCTTGATTCTGATTATTCTGGGTCACTCTCTAACAACCTTTGTGACTAATAACACAGGCTCATTTGGGCACTTAGAATCATCTTCAATGTTTTTATCACCATGCATCTATGCTTAGCTTGTAGCAGTTGTTAGCCTGAATTAGCATGTTTACTAGCAAGTCGTTCTGCAGGCTGTTTACTAAGCTAATGATAGCTAACTGGATGAACGTATGAAGTTTTTGATTTGCGTGGACTTATGTTTAAAACAAAAGATAAGTATGATTAATAGATTTTAAGCCTGCTGGCTTTGTCAAGCCAATAGCTAAACATTCATATTCTAGGATCGTGAAGGCCACGACAACGAACAAACTACAATTTTTGCAAGAAATAACCTTTGTTTCTGCAGGATTTAATACCTAAAAAATGAACCCTTTGATCCCCCAAAGATATGCCTTTTAAAATGTATGATTAATCAGGGAAAGGTCACTTTGAACATCAAAAGTTCTGAGGCATTACAATCTTTATAGAAGGCAGTTTTCCAGCTCACATGGAAAACCCAAAGAGACATTTATTAAAAATTTCACCATGCATCATTCTGTCAGTGGGCATTTGTATTCGGTGGCACAACAAACAATGTTTTCTCTGTCTCATTGCCGTCATATTCATCTTGACAAGGGAGCGAGGCAGTTCAGCAATCTGTACTGCATTATCATGCAATGCGTTCCTCAAACAAGAGGAAAATGAATTGTCCGCATCTTCAGAAACATATATGCCTCTATAATGAAATCATCACATTAAAATAATTGCTCACCACGGATAATATTGATAAGAGTAAACAAAATCAAAACCAATAACTGTTGAGACTGGACGCAATATCCTTCCATAAACCACAGACACCGGAGATAGATAGAGAGAGAGAGAGAGAAAGAGAGAGAGAGAAAGAGAGAGATATTTTATTTGAAATGAATCATTGTAAACATACTGATTATTATTTATTATTACAATTTCATCCATAAATGTTGATTGTTAAATTTACAGTTTAATCTGATTTATTTTATTTGTATTTTTAATTTGTACTTTTAATTTTATTATAATGTATTAATTTATTTATTTTCTTTTCAGCAGTCCCTTTATTAATCTGGGGTTGCCACAGCGAAATGAAGAACAGCCAACTTATCCAGCATGTTCTACGCAGCGGATTCCCGTCCAGCCACAACCCATCTCAGGGAAACACCCATACAAACTCATTCACAGTCATACACTACGGACAATTTAGCCTACCCAATTCCCCTATCTTTGGACTTGTGGGGGAAACCGGAGGAAACCGAACACAGGAAGAACATGCAAACTCCACACAGAAAATCCAACTGACTAAGCCGAAGCTTGAACCAGTGACCTTCTTGCTGTGAGGCGAACATGCTACCAACTGCGCCACCGTGCAGCCCATTATTATTATTATTATTATTATTATTATTATTATTGTTGTTGTTGTTGTTGTTGTTGTTGTTGTTGTTGTTCATTCATTTTCTTTTCGGCTTAGTCCCTTTTTTAATCTTGGGTTGCCACAGCGGAATAAACAGCCTATTAATAATAGTATTGATAATAATAATAATAATAATAATAATAATAATACAAATTTTACTACTACTACTACTTACTATGTTTACTATGTTCATATATATATATATATATATATATATATATATATATATATATATATATATATATATATATATATATATATATATATATATATATATATATAAACTTTATTATTGTTTTGGCAATACATTTAAAGCAGATATTGAATTGAACTGATAAACAAACAAACAAACAAACAAACAAACAACAAACAAACAAATAAATAAATAAATAAATAAATGTAATTGCAGTGTATAATGCAACACAATAAGATCTATTGAACTTGAGTTAGGAATAGGAAATGCATTTGGAACAACAATAGCAGTATAAGCTAGTTTTGTTTCACTAACAATTGTTCAAAAAATCAATTCAGGTTGCTGTAATGGTAAAAAAAAAAAACAGATTCTCAGTTCTAGATATTATTTAAACCTTCTGGTGCATGTCTGATCAGACTAATGGAAACATCAGAACCCAAGTACAAATTATCATGTCCATGTAGTATTATCTATGATCCACATGATCTACATGATCATATATGTAGTACTATTAATTAAGTAGTAATTAAGCTGTCATAAAATTAATAAGCACCAATATATGATGGTGCATCAACATAATGCTCATATAAGACTTTTTTTTCATCAACATGGCTGACTTTAAAAATGCTTAAAAATTCTCCATTAGCGGGGCCTGTACTGATGAGGAAGAAGCTTTAGAAGCATCACTTGTACATAGCACATGGCTGTTGAATGAGCAGAGCAGTCTGATCTCAGCTGGCCGAATGCTGAATAAAAGCTGAGCTCTCGGAGCAGCTGCACAGCTGTAATTAAAGCTGCAGACAGCCAGTATTTTCACAAGCAGACGACGGTCAAAAGCCATAAAAGAACACAGATATAAACACCATTTTAAATAATCAGACTGCAAACAGACAACACACAAACACCACCATACAGTAGCTGCGCTGTATAATACATATAAAATACACAACTACACTTAGCTAAAACCAAAGCTGACACCATAAAACTACAATAATGGTTGTTACTTGGAAAAAAAAAAAAAATTGTTGCAACAAAAAAGTTCAATGTTAGACTTGGAGTAGAAATTATAATTTTTTTAAATATATATTTCTCAAATTCCCTGCAGTTACTATTATATTTTTGGTCACACTTTATTTTGATGGTCAGTTAGTTAAATTAAGTTGCTGTACATTGCATCTACATGCCAACTAATTCTCATTAGATTATAAGTAGACTGTTAGGTTCGTTGTTAGGGTTAGGGTTATTGTAATACCTGACTTGTACTCGCAAAGTTTCTTATAGTTAGTTAAATGTCTGTTGAAGGAGTATATCAACAGACATGAAGCAGACAGTCTAATACTCAAAAAGACCATCAGAATAAAGAGTTACATTTTTTTTCTTCTAGGGAAAGATTTATTTTCTTTATTTTTACTGGAGTAAAAAAAAAAAAAAAAAAAAAAACATTAGGCACAATATTATTAGCCCACTTAGATTATTATTATTATTTTTATTGTCTTAAGATCAAACCACTGTTCTCCAATGAATTGCCTAATTACCCTAATTTTCATTGTTAACCTAATTAGCCTAATTAACAAAGAAAAAATAAATGAGTAATTAAATATTAGTAAGTAAAAATGTCTTAAACAAAATCTTCTCTTCGTTAAGCAACATTTGAGAAATATTTTTAGAATAGTCAAATACATTTGACTTTAACTCGATATATTAAATTTCTTATTGCAAGAAGAAAAAAAAATAATAAAATAAATGCATTAAGCAAGACTACAAAACTTGAAATCCATACAGTATTTTGTACTTTTGAGTATTTTGAAAGCATATTGCCAATATTAAAAATAAAAATCCATACATTAAAATGTTTATTTTTATACATTTGTATTAATTTAATAAACATTATTTATAGAATATAAGTATTATTTAACTTGCAAAAAATTCATATCAAGCTAAAGCATTAATGTGTATTTAAATTATATGTAATAAAAATGTGCAAAATGTCTAACAAAGAGAAAACACAGACACAAAAAATGACAACAAAAAATAACTCAAAACAAAATAAAAACATTATTGCTAAATGTCTCTATTAAATACATTCCTATTATAAATGAAATTAGATAAAATTACAATATTATTATTATTATTACAATATTTTACCATTTAAACAAATGCATATGATAATTATCATTCAGTGGTGTGCAAAATGACATGAGCTGTTTATAAAAGAAGGCACAGAAGTGGAAAAGGAGATCCAGCAAAACAGCTTTCCACTGCTGCTCTACTCCAGGGAAACCCAGAAACACTGTATAAAGGGAAAGCAGAGACTTCTCGCCCCACACCTCAGCTCAGAAACTTCAGTTTTCAGGGGACGGTCCACTTTGTGTTCACAAATGGTTTTTAGGAGGGCAGAGGAAGCTTCCCCATCATGCAGCAGTGGAAATGGCTGCTGGCACCGTCTCCTCTGCCTCATTTCTCTGCTTTAGAGCCCAGAGCACCTGTGATTGATGGACCATTCTGTCTGCTAACATCTCGCCCAAAGTCAGCAAAGGTAAACAGTCCAGCTTCTGTCTTCTGCCAGAAACTGCCAGCTGCACACTTCACACTAGCCCATGACACCCAGGGATTTGGATTATTATTTT